GAAAAATTAACTCATCATAAACAGCATAATTAAAAAATTCTATTGTAAAAAGCCCAATGCAATATTAAACGACTTAATGAAACATACCTCAACATTTGTGTAACTCCTTAAACCACCAACAAAGTATATCCAAAAATGATTCCACTGTTCTTGCATCACTTACATGCCCAAAGACAACCAAAAGTTGTCACAACAACATCATTGTGCCATTAAATACGTATGAAAATTAACTTCTTTTAAGAACAAATAACTTTTGATGTTGTGTGTGGCCCACAAATTTAAAAGGTAACGAATGATCATTCATGCAAAGATTCTAGGCCCACAAATTTATATAGTATCTCAGTTGGTTACTAAATAATAGACAACAACTATTCAAAAATCAATGTGGGAAGATATGACCCATGCAAATGGGGTACTGATTCAATTTTTAGATAATGAAAAATATAAGTAATTCCAGGGATGTGTAAATCACCCCAACATATTCTATGAATGGCCAACACTTTTCTTTTATAGCTCTCTCAATCTCTGTCGGCTACTTTAATGGGCTAGGAAAAAAGCATTTTGCAATATTGAAAACACAATACACTCTAGAACAAAACCAAAAGATCATCAAAAAAATATCTCTGATAACCCATTCCTGAATCAATTTCACAAAAAACAATTTCAAACATTTCAAACTATGATAACCCATTTCAAACTATGATCTCAACTGATTCGGGTTCCTGAATCAGTTATCAAAAAAATGATAACCCATTCCAAAAAACCATTTCAAACTATCATCAAATTTCACAAAAGAATCGCAAAATCTCACAAAAGATTAACCCATTTACAACCCCGAATCAGTTGAGATCGAATAAGTTTCGTGTAAAGACTTGCACATTTGGGGAGGCCTAGGATTGATGTGGGTTTGTGGAATGATGTGGGTTCGGCCTTCCTTCATCCCTCCTTCTTCTCTTTTTTTCAAATGTCTCCCTCTTCTCTTGCTCTGCTTCTCTTCTTTTGCCGCCACCTCCTGTTTTGGAAAAGGTTTTGAAGGGAGGGTTATGGGGAAGACAGAAAAGGGTTTGAGAGAGGATAGGGTTTGTCAAGGGGTGGTGACGGTGGCAGTGGCTATGGCCATGGTTGCTATTGAGTTGTGAGGAATACAGCCGACGTGGGTTGTGATGAAAAGCCGAAGAGTCGAAAAGCCGACATGGCTCACCAATAGGTTTTGTAGCGGCTCTCCCATGTTTCCTCCCTCTCTTTTGTCGGCGGAAGCCATTCACAGCCACACCGTAATCGCCCTAATTCTCTCCTTCTCTATCCAGCCACACCCTAACGGCCACTTCACGAAATTAACCACAAACACTGATCGGCGTACGATCACCCACACACCCACCCACCACCAACACCCACCCCCACACTGAAGTGGGTCTCCATTAGCCATTAGTTTTGGTTTGATGTGAACTTTGGGAATTCGGTTTGACACAGTGGTTTGATGTGAATGTTGTGAATTCAGTTCGACACAGTGTTTGAGGGTTCAATGAACCACAACTACTATAGCTTCAACGAAATTTCCCAAAGAGCTCCAAACATCAAAGGTTCGAATGATGGGTTCGAGTGATACTGCTGTAACTGGAAGGTAATTGGTTTGGGCCAACACATTTTTTCCAATTTCATCTATTAACACTGCTTGGCTCTTAACACTGCTTGGCTTTTGTGTTCATGAGCCATGGCAGAGGAATCACAACAAAAGNCTTAACACTGCTTGGCTTTTGTGTTCATGAGCCATGGCAGAGGAATCACAACAAAAGAGAAGGGGAGAGGGAGGTACCTGGGCTGAGCTTGGTGAGCCACTGTTGTGTGCCGTTGTGTTAATCGCCGCTGCGTGCTGCCGCTGAGCCATGGCAGAGGAATGAGAGGGGTGTGGGTAGCAGTGTAAGGTTTATGGGTATTGTTGAGCCATGAGCCATGGCAGAGGAAGTGACTAGGTTTGAGAGGAAGTGATTGGGTTTGGGGCGGGAGGCAGAGAGTAACTGCAGGAGGGGTAGCGTGTANTTTATCATTTCAAATGAAATAATTACTGAACACCTATGTCTTTTATTTTTTTTTAAACGCATGTGGGGTATTACAGTTCGAGTGATACTGTTGTAACTGGAAGGTAATTGGTTTGGGCCAACACATTTTTCCAATTTCATCTATTAACACTGCTTGGCTTTTGTGTTCATGAGCCATGGCAAAGGAATCACAACGAAAGAGAAGGGGAGAGGGAGGTACCTGGGCTGAGCTTGGTGAGCCACTGCTGTGTGCCGTTGTGTTGATCGCCGCTGCGTGCTGCCGCTGAGCCATGGCAGAGGAATGAGAGGGGTGTGGGTAGCAGTGTAAGGTCTATGGGTATTGTTGAGCCATGAGCCATGGCAGAGGAAGTGACTGGGTTTGAGAGGAAGTGACTGGGTTTGGGCGGGAGGCAGAGAGTAGCTGCAGAAGGGGTAACGTGTAGGGGGTGGGTTTGATTCGGGCGGGATTTTGAGATGCAATGTGAGCCTTTGGATTAAATTGGAAGAATTGAGATGAAATCTAGGCCATTAAATTAAAAGTAGATTAAATCTGAGCCGTCCTTGTGCTTTCCCAAATAAATTAAAATTGGATTAAATTTTGAAGTAAAAATGGATTCAAATTGGGTTCTATCTTATTAGTATAGATGCCGATTCTAAGACCGAAAATAGAAAAAAGTGTTAGATTACAATTGTTTGATTTTATGATTCAATTATAAAATCTTTCAATTGGTTCTTAAAAGTGCCTAAAAATGCTCAAGAACATGGACACAAATAATAATTTTATGATTGGATTCTATGAACAGGAAATTTAAGATTTCTAATCACCATTTATCAAACAGAATTAGAAAAACAATACTACACCATGGCTTTGTATTAACATAAAAACGTTCAAACGAAACAAATTCAAACAGTCACAAATAAATAATGTTAGCAAAATGGAACCTTTGACTACAAAGCAACAAACTTATACAAATTCGAAAGCATAATCAAAATTTACATAACAAATTCGAGAGTGTGGCATGTTGGAGCTTCCGTTCTTTGCACCAGTGGGTACGTGTTGACACCAGAATAAACAAATGTTTATTTATTAAACACGAATAATGAATGAAAGAAAGAAACAAAAATTAAGCCAAAGCGGCAACAAAAATTAATTTGTGGATAATGAATGAAAGAAAGAAACCCATATCAATGAAAGAAACAATTAAAAAATGTTTAGGAAATTAACCCATATCAATGAAAGAAACAAACCCATATCAGTGCTTCGTGAATAACAGATGGAAGAAAATGTTCAGGAAATTAAAAAAAAAAAAGATCTCTGATAACCCAAAGCTTCAACCAACCTTCAAAATGTTGAGCTTGGGCTGAGAATGCTGAGCGAAAGAGAGGGGGAGAGGGGGAGAGGGAGTTACCTAGGCTGAGAATGTTGGTGTTACTGCTGTGTGCTGCCGCTGAGCCATGATAGAGGAGTGAGAGGGGTGTGGGTAGCAGTGTAAGGGTCTGGGTAGAGGGGTAAGGGGTCTGGGTGTGGGTATCAATTCCTCTGCCGCTATGTTGAGCCATGAGCCATGACAGACAAAGTGATTGGTGAACAGGAGAGTAGCTGTAGAGGGGATAGCGTGTAGGGAGTGGGTTTGATTTGGGCGAGATTTTTGTTTGTGTGAGATGAAATGTGAGCCTTAAATTAAATGAGAAGAATTGAGATGAAATTTAAATCATTAAATTATAATTAAAATAAATCTAAATCGTCCTTGTACTTTTTTAAATATAAATTGTGTTGTGTGCACCACTCTTGCGGCGGTCTGCCCTCTGCCTTCGGAAAGCGCAAAAACTCCAATTGACACCAGGGCGAGGCAGCGGTCTACAACCTCTCGAGTTCATACCGGACATTAAACATTCTTTCAGTTTCAGCTTACTTGGTTTCGGCTTTTTCGTGGTGGTCTGACGCTCGACGGTCTAAATACTGATACAAATTGATCCAACTTCTTCAAAAAAAAATAAAATTGAAAGCTCAAAAATATATGTTGATTGAAAATGTTAAAACTCCAAATTACAATTTACAATGAGTCCAGTCGTGTCGATTGTTCTAACGAGGGAAGTATGTTCTCGGGCTTCTTGTCGTTATCTTTTGAATATTCACACTCTCACTCTTCCCTCCCGTTTCAGGCATTCAATGCATACACTCCCACAGTCAAAGCCTATTCCAAACCTGCAACCACAAGCCAACTCCAACTACAACTCCAACTCCAAGTTGAATGCTATTCCCAACCGTGAAAGATTCGATACCAGCTCAATTGTCTTGGATAAAAGTATATACAATGGTAATTCCAGGATAATTAGTCTGGGTCGTCTTGCTAAGGTCGACGAAGCAAGGAGGATGTTCGATGAAATGCNCTCCAAGTTGACTGCTATTCCCAACCGTGAAAGATTCGATACCAGCTCAATTGTCTTGGATAAAAGTATATACCATGGTAATTCCAGGATAATTAGTCTGGGTCGTCTTGCTAAGGTCGACGAAGCAAGGANGTTGAATGCTATTCCCAACCGTGAAAGATTCGATACCAGCTCAATTGTCTTGGATAAAAGTATATACAATGGTAATTCCAGGATAATTAGTCTGGGTCGTCTTGCTAAGGTCGACGAAGCAAGGAGGATGTTCGATGAAATGCCTCATCGGGACATCGTTTCTTATGCTTCCATGATTACCGTTTATCTTAAGCACAATGATCTCCTGCAAGCCGAGCAGCTTTTCCGTGCAATGCCTGAGTGGAACATTGTGGTTGATTCTGCAATGGTCAATGGGTATGCCAAGGCTGGTCGGATGGATGAGGCCCAGGGAATATTTGATAATATGCCTGAAAGGAATGTATTCTCCTGGACCAGTTTGATTTCCGGGTATCTTAGAAGCGGACGAGTCCATGAGGCTCGCCAACTGTTTGAACGAATGCCGGAGAAAAATGTGGTCTCCTGGACTACGGTAGTATTGGGATATGCTCGCAATGGTTTGATTGATCAAGCTCGGACTGTTTTTGATCAAATGCCGGAGAAAAATGTGGTTTCTTGGACGGCCATGATGAAGGCCTATGTTGAGAATTTCCAAATTGATGAGGCACTTAAGCTCTTCCATCAAATGCCTCTGCGTAACATTTATTCTTGGAACATAGTGATTCATGGTTTTTTAGATGAGTTTCGAGTAAATGAGGCTATTCAGCTATTTATTTCAATGCCTCGGAGGAATGCAGTTTCTTGGACTACTATGGTTACAGGTCTGGCACGAACTGGGTCGACCAAACTTGCAAGGCAGTACTTTGATCAGATGCCTAAAAAAGACACCGCTGCATGGAATGCGATGATCACAGCCTATGCTGACGAAGGGCTGATGGCTATGGCCATTGAGCTTTTCAATTTGATGCCGGAGAGGAATACAGTGACTTGGAATGCAATGATTGATGGGTATGCTAGGAATGGGCCTGAGGGTGAAGCCTTCAAGTACCTCATTCTCATGCTTCGGTGCTGCATTAGACTGAATGAGACTACTCTCACTAGTTTATTGACCTCATGTGAGAGCATTCAATTGTTGCAAGCTCATAGTCTTGTTGTACGGCTTGGGTTTGAGTGTGAGACATCGCTTATAAATGCTCTTGTTACGATGTATTCTAGAAGTGGAGATGTTAGCTCTGCCTGGCTTGCTTTTGAAAATCTTGAGGCAAAAGATATTGTGTCATGGACTGCAATAATAGTAGCATATTCGAGTCATGGCTATGGTACACTTTCATTACAGGCCTTTGCACGGATGCTACGTTCAGGAACCAAGCCTGATGAAATTACTTTTGTTGGAGTCTTGTCAGCTTGTAGTCATGCCGGTCTTGTCAATAAAGGCCAAAGGCTTTTCAACTCAATGAGGTGTGCGTATGATTTGGAACCAAAGGCAGAGCACTATGCCTGCCTTGTTGACACCCTAGGTCGAGCGGGACTAGTTGATGAGGCTACGCGGGTGGTTCGCAAGATGCCTCCAAGCGAACGGGATGTTGTTGTTCTAGGGGCATTACTTGGTGCATGCAAATTGAATGGGGATGTTGCACTGGCAAGTAACATTGGAGAGGAACTGATAGAGGTTGAGCCAGCTAGCTCTGGAGGATATGTCCTCTTGGCTAATGTGTATGCGGCATGTGAGAAGTGGGATGAATTTGCACGAATAAGGAAGAAGATGAAGGAGAGGAAAGTGAAGAAAGTACCTGGTTTTAGTCAAATAGAAGTACAGGGGAAAAATCATGTATTTTTTGTGGGGGACAGGTCTCATCCTGAAGTCAAGGAGATCTACATACTGCTACAAGAGAAGCTTCTACCTTTGATGCTAGAAATGGGTTACAGACGTGGGAGCTCATTAGCGTGTTTATGATTTGAACAGGAATCAGAAGTAACATTTGGCTAAGTTATGTTTTCCGACCATGAAGATATCAAATCGAGTATGAAAAGGAGGTTTGTGCAATGTGAAATAACATTTTTTATTGCCGTAGCATCCATTTATTTTTATTAGTCTTTAGTTTGGATCATGCAGGTAAACCGAGAATTCAATCAATGAACAATGCTTCAAGAATTGATGCTACCCAAAGGCACAGGCTTCACAGCAGGATTACACCCCAAATAACTAGAGGCACTGAAAAAAAAAGATATGAAACTTCAAAGTTAATTGATGAGCTGAATGCAGCTTCAAAGGAGAGAGCCTACCGAAGTTCTGATTGAGCATCTAAGAATTTTGAGTGTTCTCAAGAAAATAAGCTCTTCATTTGGATAGACAAGATGGAATAATGTTATTGATGATGTGTTGGGAGGGAAATTCATTTGGTATTTAGCTGCCCTCTAGATGATCAAATTTTCTGATTGATGATAGTTTAGGTAAGTGTGGCTGCTTACTGGAAAAGTAAGTGAGGAAAGATGATAGGAAGTATCCAAGTATCAAAGAACCAGCTGTATAAATTTCTTGAAAGTTTGGAGGCCCGATATGTCATCATCTGGAGAGTCTCAACAAGTTAATGAACATTGAAAAGGGATTTGAAATTGGGGAACTGAACCTGAAGAAGCACCAGATCAGGATGCTCCTTGGATGCACCTGATTAGAGAAAAGGATATTCAAGGATTAGGAGGGATTGGTTAGGTGGTGCGGTAGGATGCTGCTGGAAAGCATGACAAGGTGAAGTTTTGGAGAGTGGTTTAACCTGGGGCTTGTTGATCCTGTATGAAATTAAACATGATTGATCCTACTATCAATCAATCCGCCATACAAAGGCGGAACTCCAGCTCTCTCTACCGGTAGGAGGGGGGCAACCACCTTATCAAGGCGTAGGTGAAGCCGACTCAAAGTGAAACGATTTATTCCAAGCAAGAACTTGACTAGAATAGGTAAAGTCAGACATTCCTTTTTTTNGTCTCTCTACGGGTAGGAGGGGGGCAACCACCTTATCAAGGCGTAGGTGAAGCCGACTCAAAGTGAAATGATTTATTCCAAGCAAGAACTTGACTAGAATAGGTAAAGTCAGACATTCCTTTTTTTCAAAATTCCAGTCTTGCGGGTTGCTCGAATTGTCAGTGATTCAAACAAAGAGGCAGGTTCGAGTCTTCTTCAATAGAAGCACCAAAATTCCTCCTCATTTACCTTCTTCCTACCATTCAGGTGTAAAAGATGAGATGGAATAGCATGTCATTTTGGAACCGTTCATAACCGCATGGGAGCGGGGACTGACAGGGGGATGCCAACAAACACAATGAATAAAATGTGCAGTTAGCGAGAGTAGCTAAATTACTTTGAGTCTGCCCACAGCAGAGATAGATAATAGGTGGACCAGGTTGAAAGCCAACTATATGTATGAAAATTGAAGCGGCCCAAGACCCATTACAAGTGACCAGCTCGAAGGCCAAGAAAGGGAAGGGAAGGGAAGGATGAAGCTTTGTTTCTTCTATTTTTTCTTCTTTAATTAGAATATGGCAAAGTCGAGTAGACAATCATGACACAATCTTTGATCAGACCTGATCGAAAGGGATTAAAAGCTCAAGTCAAAAGAAACAAAATAAACCTAACGATTTCCAAACCCATCACACATTTGTTATTGTTGTTGTCGTGGTTAATCTGAAATAACGTAGGAATTGGAGCACTTTAGCTGATTTGACTGGGTGGTCAAATGCACGGCATTCTGTGTGGATTCGAACATATTTTTCGGCTTTGTGGGATATGGGTTGCTTGCAAGGTGAAGATGAAGGTAATGTTTGTGTTGTGGACATATTGGAAAACCTTTTGCTATTATTGTCTTCTTGTTCCTTCTTTTGAGGGAGTAGTGGAGTGGGGGCAAGGGAAGGATCGATTAAAGCCTTTCCATATGTCAGTCAGTCAGTCAGACACAAAAGAAAGGAAAGGAAAAGAAAAGAAAATTAAAGATGGATTCCCCTAACCCAACCCAACTAGTCTTAGTGCTCTCGACCACAGTATGCTTTTATTAAGCATGACCGACCGGCCGTCCTCTCCGTTTTCCAAGTAGTGGAAAATCGACCAAAAAGAAAAAGGAACTAATTGTAGTATTGGCTTGCACTTGGACTTGATATCGCCATCCTTCCGTAAACATTTTTAATTCCGTGAGTTTGATTGATATATTAATTCATGTATCAATAATCAATTTCTGTGTTTCAGGTTGTGAGTGAAGCTCGATCTTACAGTTTAAAGAGGTCCCCACCTATGCATGTTTCCAGAGTCTACCAATAATTATTTCTGTTTTGGTTTGTATACCCACCCTTAAGCTTTGTTGACTTAAATGAGCCATCATCATTAATACCCAAAACCAGAAAATTGAAATTCAAAAAATCTACTGCACTCTCTCTCTCTCTCTCTCTCTCTCTCTCTCTCCGCCCTTCCTAACTAGCTGCTTTTGCTCCTTTCCTCCATTCTTCTAGTATGTTCTTACCATGTCCATTCTCTACCAACCAATCCTAATGTCCCTCCCCACCCTTGTGTAAATAAAATTCTTCTTTTTATTTCTTTCCTTTTCAATTGACCCTACTTAGCCTAGAATTAATTTAATCTCCATCCTTACTCAAACTTCTTTTTTTCAACTTGTTTAAAAAACTTAAGTTGTCGTAAGTTTTGATTTTTCTTTCTTTTTTATAGATCTCATTCTTAATAGGAAGGAATGACAATATAATATAACTGCACGGGATAATTCCTGCAATAGTATGAGACAACGATCTCCAAGCTGGCGAACCTGATACAACAGGGTCAGAAAAAAGGGGGTTAAACGTGTGCCCGACTTATCCCCTCCAAAATTTAAGTCAGTATCAGATCAAAGGATTTTGCTCAATGGACTATTTTTATGGTTCCAGTTTGCATACATTTGTCCATTTTTCTTAGGATTATTTATACCTGAATTAGCAATGATTATCAAAGATCTCCAGTCTCATCTGGACATCTTACATCTGACACATCATTCCTCGTGTAATGAGTGCTTTCTATTCACGTCACCTCCTATTGAATACTAGGAAAATGGGGTAAATATTCGGCCACGTGCCGAGCAATTATGCCACTCCCCGAGTACCCAAATCCCCCAGATCGGCATTCGACATCAACTGAGCATTGAATACTCAGGGGGGAACAGTTCATCGGGAGAGCCGATCGCGTCGTCTCGGCGCATAAGCCATTAATGCTTAGTCATCATGACAGTAGGCTTAGACTCCCAGAGGGCAGGTGCTAGCATGCGCACATTTATTTGTCTTGTCATTATCACTCATTCTGCCATAAATGAGGGGTCACATTAAATACGATGTCAGTTCTCGTACTCGGTTGCTCCGTGTCACCATACCTCGGCTCACCTTCTCGGCACCCTTTGGACATCCCATCGGCTTCATTATTCCACGTGTCAACCCGGAGACTGTAAAGCCACCTAGAGTCCCGCCAACTGCCCCCCAGTGGCCATCCTTTTCACAGTGCCAGACAAGTGACACAAAGAGATTGGGGGCTCCATAATCACGCCTTATTAATAGCGACAGTTACTTGCACGTCTGATGCCGCCCTTTTCAAATGCCCTAATGATGACCCAACTTTTCGATTCTCGCTCCCTGTGAGGCAGTATAAATAGGAGAGTTTTATATCTTCTCAGAACTTTGCATCCTCAACCTCTCCTCAGCAATCAGACCCCGAGTGCTCCTCTGTTCTTCTCCAAGTTTCCTTTGTCCTCCGAGCTCTCTTTGAAGACCACCTTCCTATAAGTATTTTCACTTGAGCTTTTTCTTCCTTCATTTCCTCTACATTTCGTCCTTTTAGCGCCCACCAATGGCTAGAACTAGTAGAACCGGGGGGAGACGTCTGTTAGGGCTAGGACTACCCACAAGATGAGGAGAACCCAAGTGACTGATGAGAATATCCAATCCTTTAAGGTTAGGTACCACATCCGTGAGCCTATCTTTGTTTTCCTCTTCGACCCCACTCATCATAGGAGGGATATGGGAGATGTGGACATGATGCCTTTCTGGATGAAAGCCATCATGGAGGGAGGATTAACCTTCCCCCTCCATCCCCTATTGTTGGGAGTGTTGATGCAACTACAACTCTTTCCCTTTCAATGTGGGGTCAACTTTCTTTAGGATTGTGATGGGCGTAGTTGCCTTAAATGCTTGGCTAGGGACGAACTTAAGAGTAGATGAAATTTTATTCTACTACGACTTGAGGCTAGTCACCGGGGGGCGATACTACCTCCAGGCTAGGGACGCCTCAATGTATTTGGTAACTCACATGCCCGACTCGGACAAGGGTATGTAGACAATCTAATCATGCTCGACGAAAATTGGGAAAAAGGGATCGGGTCCGAGTATGACGGATTGTACTGCCCCAAAGTGTCGAGGGATGAAGGTGTGTTTTCTTTCCGACTTCTTGATTTTGCTATTTTTGGGTTCCAGGGACGCACTGATTTTGCTTTGCTTTTGCAGAAGGATATCGCCGGGACGCTGCTCAACCGTTAAGGTCCCAAACCCGGTTTGCCAAGCTGCTAAGGGTTTGGTCGTCGGACCTAGTTGAGCGAGCGGCGCATACTTTCCTTGGCTACACGCCGACTTACAGTCGATTCTCCCAGATCCCACCTCCTTTCAACCCTTCTATTTGGGAAGACCATTCCTCGTCGGAAGAGGAAGAATCTGAGGGAGATTCTGAAGAAGAGTCTGATCACGCTCCCGAGCCCCTTGCGCCTGAAATGTTTAATCCGTCATCGGTCACCGCTACGACAATGGAGGCCGCCGCCGCGGCAAGGAGAACCAGGCTCACCGGGTTGGCCGGACCTTCCAACACTACCCCCATCATCCCCCAGCCTAGTTCTCCTTGGAGGCAGCCGCCCCCACCACAGCCGCGTACGCAACAATCCACTGACCCGGCCGTGCCGACCAGGCAAATGCCTCAATCTCAACAAGTCCCCGCTCCGGGAGACCGGCCAAGGGACAGGTGTGTCCGGGACGCCGAACAGTCCGAGGAGCGCTATGTGAAGCAGCGGCATGATGCCCCAGGCCCGTCTGTCTCGGGCGAGTGGGTTGCTCG